TGTTAACATCTGCTTAGTACACAGTAAATGTTTAAAAATTGAATGCTATGATGATGGTCAGCACAATTTGTACCATTGTCCAAATGTGGACTTGAACAGAAAACAACAAATACCAAATTTGGTGGAAAACTGTTTTTCAAATGGGGCCAAAAACTGGTGTGGTGGTTTTTTCTCTTTCTTTTTCTTTTTCTTTTTCTTTTTCTTTTTCTTTTTCTTTTTCTTCTTTTCTTTTCTTTTCTTTTCTTTTTCTTTATTCAGGGAAACATGCTAATACTCTTTTTCTCTGAAGAGATTCTGCTTTTAATTTTTGATACAGTGAAATATCCAAGAAGTTATGTTCAAAACTGTTGATGCATAATACTTATGCTTCCATATTCACCTCTTCTTCAATTCTGACCAAATCCTTTCTGTAGAAGTGAGAATTATTGCTTTCTGTTGTCACAGAAATAGCTCTTTTGCTGATAGTTGCATGCATGACATATAGCATATGGCAGATGAAGCATTATATTAGCTGATGTTTAAAATGTATGCTTTTTATTATAAGTGAAAACTTAATGTATTGTGTGGCTTGATTAAGCTTTTCAATACAAGGCTAAATAATAGGTTCTAGCCAAATCTAGTGAATATTTTAAGTATTGCAAGCCAACTAGGATGAATATGGTCTTTTCCTTTCTCAGGTTCTTCTTGTTGGGTGTTTACATCTTTTGTTGCCCTCTGCTGTAGTGTATTTGGGATTGAAAGGTGGCTTATTGTTGAACAACAGTTGCAACTACAAAGTCTTCCCTTCCCTTTCATTTAAAGTGGTGTATTAGGAAATCCCTGAAAATATGACTGGGGGGCAGGTCTGGTGCTCAACAACAGGAATTGAGTTCTCTTTGTGGACTTCATCCAAAGTCCCCTGACGACTTTGGAAGTTATCACCTGCAGGCAATGGGAAACAGCCGTGTGTTGTAGGTGGAACCTGCAGCACTCTTCAGCCACCAACTCTGGATAACATCTGAGGAGTCAACAGTCCATCAGTGGGAGCAACTAGAGTCTCCCACATCTCTTCCTTTCCTCTCCTGTTCTCCCTGTACCTCTCCATATGGCCAGGAGGACAGAGAAGCCTGCTTCTCCTTTAAGTGCTCAAATGAATGTAGGAGATTGAAGGTTGTATCTTTGCTGTATAGCTGTAGAAAAGTGCAAATTGCCACCAAAAGAGTGTGAACCTTGCTCATGTGGGAGCAGAGGCACAGCCACAGGTTTTGAAACTTCTGCAATAGATGCTTGGGATTTGCATTTGGACCATCATAATTTTTCATGCGGTGAGTGAGATCCTTCTCCAGCTGCTGTCAGGCAACTAGAGCTTCATCTGGGGTGTGGACAGCCCTCTTACAATGCTGGTTCCTCTTCTGGGTTACTATGGAGACAGTCAGAAATTGTAATTGCTTGAAAAATTAGCAATTGGAAAATATGACTATGACTGCAAGTAACCAGCTCAGAAAACACACTTCATCAGAACAAACCTATACTCCTGCAGAGAGAACCAAAATCTGTATATATGATTCACAGCAGTAGCCAAGTGGTTAAGAACACAGTCTTCTATTTGAAAGATTTCTCTTAATTAAAATAAAACCATACCCAGTTGTAACAAATGTGAGAAAGAATGTGGCCACAGCTGTGGTTGTACAGGAGGCAGGATAAGCTTTTCTTTTCCTGATGTCAGTTCTATATGGATCTTTCCATATCAATGGTACTTTGTAAGTCTTTGAAGTCCTTGTAAAATACTTTTTTCCATAGCTTTTGGTTTTAGTTTTCTCCCATGAATTTTGAATGAAAGGGAAAATGAGAATGGTGGGTTTTTGTGTGAAGATCCATGTGCCTGCCTACATATAAATGTGTACATTTGTAAATGCGATTATTTCATGTCTCTTCTCATATTTGATGTATAAAATGCTAATGATTTTTGAGTCTGAACCATGAGAGAAGAACAGCAAACACAATTGGTGTTCAGCTTACCAGCTCCTCAACTGTACATAGTATAAATCCAGAGCAGTCTTCTTATCCTATGAATGGGTCTATCCACAATGGGCTAATGAGCTGACCTTGTGATTAGCTCCTTGGTTATGTTGCTGAATTGCTCAGTAGAGCTGGGTTGCACTCCATTCTAGCATCTAGGTAAAACCAAAGTTTCTAGCTCTTTTGATTGTGAAGAAACCTTCAAAGTGTGAACTATCCTAGATTTTTAAATGTGTCACATTGATTTCTTTCCCTTATTTAGACAGTGTCAACTGCCATCCACTTGCAGGGCTGAGAAGCACCAAGAATGAGACTAAGAAGGTTTCTGAGCACTTTAGACTTGCTCCTCTGATAGCAGGAGGCTTTTGGGCTTTCCTAGATTTTGTTTGCAGATGATCTCTGTTATCTTTTGATGAAGTGGATGACCAAATCTCACGAATAGAGCCTCTGCAGAAGTGCAAGGGGCACAGAGGGGATTGCATTAGGCTCCCTGTTCAGGGATGATTTTTGTTTTTATAATCCATGTTATTTTTTCATGATGCTATTACAACTTTTCTTTCTAGGCTTTCAGCCTTCAAGATTCTTATACGCCTTGATTAGCTTTATTGTTTGTATTACTCTCATTCTCTAATTAGAGTAATCACATCACGGGGGAGTTGAGGCTCTTCTGTTTTTTCTCTAATTATTTATGTTTTGTTAAGCCTGGCTGTTTCCTGCTGCTTATTCTTGTCCATGTGTTTTTACTCTCTGCAAATTGATGTTGTCATGTATTAATTGTTTTCACTTTATCTGAAGACCTTTTCCGTTTTTACTGTATTTGCCATTGTTGACAATCTGTAAAGCTCTACATTTTAAAGTTCCATTTAAAAGTGGCAATACCTATACTGGCAGGTGGGGATAACAATTGTGCTTTTGCAAAAGTGATGTCTTTAACTAACGTTCTGGATCCTTTACCTCAGGTTTTGTCATTTACACCTATGTCATTACGCATAAACAACCTTCCACCAAACTTTTATTCTTTCTTTCTGGTTGGCATTGCTGTGGTTGCTTTGTCCTTCAGGTCTCTTCTCATAATGGTCTATTCACAATAGTGGTGAAGACCTGCTGAGGTGGGGGGATTGTCAGTAGATATATGTATGCCTTTGTAATGCAAAGCAGTGTTGGTACCAAGCCCTAACAATTAGAGGAAAATGGAAGTTTTTGTAGAAAGTTTTCTGGTTATTAATTTCAGATTGCACATGTGCTAGGAGAAAAAGAAGAAGAGTAAGTGTGCAAAGGTTAATGGTGTGCACAATATGAGGTTAGATCAGAACAGCATACTATACATTTTATTTGGAGCCTTTTTTTGTGTAGAGTGGCATAATTTATTTAAAAGCAGAAACAGCTAATCGGTCTTTGCATGAGTTAAATTTCTGACTGCACAAGTTCAAGGTCCACCATTAAAATTGTCACCTTTGGATACAAACTTTGAACATACTGGTAGGCAGGGATTAGCCTGCATATCAGGAGCATATCAGCAATGCTCAGTGAGCACACATTTCAAGTCCTGACACTGCTTTTTTTACCCTTATGGATTATATTTTGTAAAAGCACTAGGTAATCTTTTACATCTAAGGCCATGTTAATATTAGAACAGCACTTGCTTCAAAATACCAGTTTCTCCACCTAGTTAAACTTTTTGTGTTAATGGTATTCTCCTATTTAAAAATGGAAGCACTTAGCTTCAGAGTTTGCACTTATCTCTTCACAGATGAAGTGTCAGTGCAATGTAGCACCTGAATTGTAGTCTTTCCAACATTTGACCTGAGGTACCAGATAATTCAGTCTCTATAACTCATTCATTCTCTTCTGCTGAGATTGCAAATACGGTGCTTACAGCAGAGTTTGAATGACATTTGTGCCACTCGAAGATGATATAAACATATCCAGTTGCTCCACACCTAGAATAGCACTAGATAGATAGATAGCAGTGCTAAACAAGCAAGCTGAAGTATTAACTGGAGGTTTTAATTTTACAAAGTGTGAGTTCGCACATATGTCTACAAATGATAGGAAATTCCGCTGTCTTCCATTTGCTATAAGGTTAAATACACAGATCCTTCTTTTTGGACTGTCCTTGCATTTAGAAGATTGAATTATCAGACATATTTGTATATTTAATTAGTTGTCTATGATTTTATAATTTCTTTCCCTTTTCAATCCAGCAATAGCAGAATAAATTTTAGGTTTCTTCTAAGTGTCTCTGGGAATAATGCTATCTGCATATTGACTGTATGTCTAGCATATTTCTTTCGGTCTTTCTGGTGGTCAGTGGCTGTAGTTTTGAACAGAATAAATCAGAGTGTGTCTGAATAATGGTGGTTTGATGGGAAATGGCTGTGGAAGATACAGGTCTTGAGTACTGCAAAATGGCTCAATTATTTAATCTCTCCCAGAAGCCTGCCCCTACCTAGACTGCTGTGATTGTGCTTGATATTATTCAGCTGTTTCTTAAGATTTGGGATTTATATTTCAGCAAAAGACTTCTTAACAGTGCTAAGCTGCAGTATGGCAAGAGGTAAGTTTACTCTCTGTTAATTTTCTGCAGCACCAGGACCAAGACTTGACAGAAACTGTTGGGATAGGATTGTGCTACAGGACAAATCTTTCTTCCCTAATACAAAGGGTGCTGAGGTTACTGTACATGTTAGTAGATTTCTGGTGACCTATGTCTCAAATGACATTTACGGGACAGAAATGATCCTATTATTTTATGTTTATGAAGTATATTAATGTGAACTTATATGAAAAAGTAGCATCCCCCATGACCATAAAGAAGTAACTACCATGGCTAGTTCAAACTTAATGAAAACCTTTATTTAGGTGAACACCATTCTTAACATTTAACTAGTTAGATGCACTTGTACCAGCTATTATGTAGAACTGGAGTGAATCGTATTTCAGACTTAATGTTTTTATTGTGTTTGATTTTGTTGTTTTTTTTTTTTTTTTGTCCTCCAAAGATATCATTTTAGTTTTTCCAAATTATTCAGCTCAAGGTCAAAAAACACTGGCTTTACAGAGAAGACACCACTACTGAAGGTTTCCTCAGAGCAAAATGGGTGAGATACTTTCATTTTACTCAAAATATTTTTTCTAAGATCTCTTATATTTAATTGTGCATGGTTCTTTCTTATATACTGACACCAAACCTGCTGGGAAATAAAGTGAATAGCACGGGTTGTGAACAGAGAATTACCCTGAAGGACCTTGAGTGGAAAGAAAGGGGCTGTAAATGGGGAAGGGAAGCATGTAAGGTCTGAGGTTAGCATGATTAGAGAGCCCTAAGGATAGGCAACTACAGGCTGTATGCTCTTATTTCCTCCATGTGGTGTTACATCAGGTACAGTGAAAGACAGCAGAGCTATAGGAGGGGTCCTTATGGGGATTTACACACCAAATCCTAAGGCACATCTGCCTGATGCATCAGGGAGCTGGTTCTCCCAAGGGCACCTAGACATCACGGGGTATTTGTCCTTTCTCCCAGTCTACCCAGCTGTGTCACCAAGGGGAGGTCAGTCTGTACTGAATAAATCTTTGTCTATGAATTTTTCCATTAAAATCTCCCACAGTGAACCTGAGGATATCCAAGGTCAGTTACATCTACTACCTGGTAAAATAAACCACTCTTTTGTTTTATTATGTTTCCTCAAAACGTGTGACAGATTGCAGTGCGTGGCTCTTCATAATCCAGATTTTACCACAGATGACGATTCATGGGACAACAGCTCTGCAGAATTTGAGCAAAGGTTTCAACTGGGAAATGAAATTACGTGCTTGTCCAGATCTGCTTCTTCTGAGAGATATGAAATCTTGGACAACCTTCATGTCAAGTTCAATTTATCAAAGATGAGGTCTTAATTCAAACATTAATTTACTTCTCTTTCCATTCTTTTTTTCTCCGTGTTTTTTTTTTGGGTTTTTTTTTTTTTTTTAATTTCTGCAGGGATTAGTTTTTAAGTATAGATATAACGATCAATAGTTCCTCATTCTCACAAGCATCAATCGTAACACCTATTCTAAATTTATAACTAAATGCCTCCTATATTGCTTCTAACATTTCTTTGAAACAACTCTTTAAAAACCTCTTGCTTGATTCCACAGCTTCATTCGGTGTTTTGTTGCTCTTATGAAATGCTTTACTTTAATTAAAGTGTGTATCTAACACAGTCTTTCTGTAGTCATTATAGTGGCTTTTCACATACACACAATCCAAAATCTAACTGATCATTTTTCTATCATTAAGTACTTAGTACTTAATATTTTTCACTCTTTACCTTAAAGTAGTCTTTTACCTCATTTAGGCACAGAGGAAATTGAATCTCATAATGCATTAAGAGATACCAATGTGATAAGAGGTTAAGTTCAAATTTTCTTAGGATATTTTTGCCTGAGATTTAACTAGCAAAAACTTTAATCTTGGATGCTAATTCTCTGCCCCTTCCAGAATTTCAATACCTTTTACTAGTTTGGTTTGGCCTCTGCAAATAGCTTTGCAGATCTCCATATTGATCCACAGAGCCTTTCCAATGAGATGTCCGTGCATCTTTTCCCAATTTTTATGTTGTCTTAGCTCATCACTTTACAGTTGTTTTTGTCCTTCCATTGTGCATGTGGTGTTGTGTGGAGTGCCGCTCTCCTGCACTGCTGCTCAACAAATGGAGCAGGAGAATTTCAGTGGCTGATACTAGTGCAATATGAGCAGGTATGAAGAAGCTTGGCAGATGACTTTCTTCACACTCATGGTAGATTTCCCTGGTATTTGGTGGAACAAAGGAATTGAGCGGGAGTGTAGAATCCATTGTTTCCAGTACAACATAGGTTTATAATGTGGGTAGTTGAGTGTTTTTCTGGCAGAACTTCCCTTGAAATATTTTCATTGCTATAGTGCAGCTTGTACATATGGGACCAGCTTTTGGCTGTTGTAAATCAGCATAACTCTGCTGAGATAATAAATGGAGTTAAACTGCCCGGCACCGCATGCAGACCAGACTAAAAGTCATTTGGGTTAGAACAGGGATTGAAATCCTTCATAGATTTGTACTTCATGCATTTCTAACTGAAGTCAAATAATAGGATTGTGCTGGAGGCATATATCAGCGCAGGATTTGGCACAGGGTTTCTACTTGTATTTCTGTGCCAGATTAGTGCTGTAGCAAGAGACAGATTGCAAGCCATGGGTGAGTCAAAGGCTGATCACTTCTCAACTGTAAGCTGTTAAAAGCGCCGTTTCCCTAATACAAAATGCCATGAAAACAAACAGATGGGAGGAATGGGGCTTTCTAAATTCTACATTTAATAAGGTGACCATTTTCAAAAGCTTTTTTTATTATACCTTGCCAGCTCCTTTAGATGAGTCTCTGTTATTTATAGCCAAGTGGTTCTGAGATATAAAGCTTAAAATCTTTACTGTAGCTTCTTGTTTCAATAATACTAATAACAGTAAAATTTCAAAGTGCAAACAGAAAATATCAAGTACATTAAAACTAAACCAATCTGGTCTGGACTTTAGTAATTCATAACGTAATAAATTCTTAAAAATACCAGAATAGACTTGTAATGTAGAAATAGAGACAATAGACAAGCAGGGTAGAGGATGCATGACTAAGCTGGCATTAGGTGTTTTCCATATATCACACAATACAAAAAAAGAAGCTATCAGTTATGAAGTGCTGATAATGGTTTTGTTGTCATTCCTCTCTTTTCAAGCCTTTGTTATCTTCTTCCCCCTCTCTGCCACCTTGTTTTTCAGTAGAGCAGAGGTACCTAGCATTTCTGGAAGAAGTCACCTTACTGGTTTCCTTCCCCTCTTGCTCTGTCTTCTCTAGATTTTCATGCTATGCAAAAGTTTACATAGAGTTGCTAGCACTTGTATTTCATAGGTTATTGTAGCCCCTTTGTATCTGTTTGCGTGTGGCAACACATTTTTATTATCTGCTGGGGTTTTTTTCCTGCCTATTTGGAGAAATTTAAAAAGGAAGTGATCTTTAGAAAACAATGTTTTTCAAAAACAGGTCTCCAGTCGCTTATGTTGCTTCCAGTCAATGAACTTAACGGACGGACTTATTTCCACTGTGATTAAAAATCATTCCTGACTCTCTTCAGACTATTCTGCTTTACTATTTTGTTCTATAGCATCTGTCAATGCAGTTATTTATTGTACTGTTTCCTTCTCAACTAATTTTTCTAGTAACTTGAAAAGTTTTCCTTCCTGCTTAAATCAAACCTTACATTTGTCATTCTGTCAGAAAAGCAGTGTTTGAATGTTCACTTTTGAAAAAAAAAAAAAAAGGAATAAGAACATCAATGCCTCCAATTAATGAAAAGATGTAATAAGGGCATATCACCAAAAAGAGTTCTGTAAATTAAGACACCTGTGTAACATACTGTTGGGCAGCCAGAAAATAATTAGTTAAAAGTTGCCTTTTATGGTCATACTAAAAAAGATGGCAATTTAAAAGTGCTAAATCTTGAGATTTATTATTTGAGAGCATGTGTTTTCAACATGCACAATTTAATTTAATTTTAATTTAGATTTATTTTTTCTTAACCCAGTAAGCTCTGACACTTCAGAAGATTTGATGTCATCGTATCTCCATAACTGGGCATTCAAAGGGCACAGACATTCTATGGAAAAGAAACCTAATTTTGCTAGTTGGTTTATCTAGAGATGCTCATGAAGTATATTTGGTTTAAAGAGGTGCTGTTAAAGCCAGGAGATACTTAAAGCTGTTGAACTGTCTTTTCTCAATACTTTTCAGGATGTATATTAGAAGTCCAATTTTTGAGGAATTCATTCGTGACAACACCCCACTATGCAACAAGCTGTGCTTTCTGCTTTCATGCCACCTCCCTGCGATGGCAGTGCTCCTTTGCCTCCCTGCGTGGGCTGGTGGGGCTCTAGGTCTGTCAGGGGCTGGCAATAGCAGTGGAGAAGCAGCTCCGGGTCCTGGCACCAGCTCATGCTGCAGCATTCATTCAGCTTTCCTGAGGGATAAACCTCCTTCCTGTGCAATGAGACCCAGCTGGCAGCAAACCTGGGGAAAGAGCCTCTGTAGTCATCGAGGCTTCCCAAGCCCCTGCTGATCCTGAGCTGTGGTGTCCATACTCTGATGTGGTCTAGTATAACCCATAAACGCTTACCACGATGCTTCTGAAATGTCAGATCTACTAAGAGGACAGAAAAGATCTGTTTCAAACTAGCTACATAATAAATTCATGTTTCTTATGTTTCAGGTGCTGTCTAAAATTCCTGAAAGTTTCAGGCCTTTTTATCTTTGTAGTTGTCTGCTCTGTAAGTATTGGATCTGTAATGCTCCCCAGCCCCCATTTCGTAGAATCATAGAATCACAGAATCATTTTATTTCCTTAAGATTAGTTCAAAATGAGGTGTGATATGTTGTCTTAGCTGATAGAAAAATGTCTTGAGGGTGAGAGACAGATGGCAAAAAAAGGAAAATACTGTTCAGGGCTTCATGCCTGATCAGACCACTGTTTGATGCACTAGCCACCACCCTGGACAATATGGTAGTGTAAGCAGTTGAGTTTGTGGTGGGAGCTTACACTGGGATTTGTATATCCTTTATGATTGCTTGCTGAATTTAGGATGAGTCTATGAGTCTTTCGATACTGAGGAATGTTCATAAGAAAAGCTGTGCTGGGGAGGATGCAACAGCAGTGGCAGTGCTCCATAGCATGAAAACTAGAAGGCCACAGGGAGGTAGGCTGCCCTTCCATCGAAAATCTTCAAAATCAGCAAAATCTTAGACTGCAAGACTTGAGAAGCATTTCAAAAGGAGTTTATCCTTTTACCTGCTGTGAGGACCTCTTTTTTGGCTAGCAGGGCTTCTGTATCAGAGGCAAAACAGATGACACTGTATCTCCTCAGATGTGGGTGTTGCTTTCCAGATAGATCTTTAAGATTATAATTTTGTCCTAAGAGACACTTGGATAAAATACATCAAATATGTGAATTTGGCAGTAAATTTACAAAAGGAATATTACTCATCTTTGTTAAGTATCCCAAGGCTGCTTTTCAGATGTGGTGTAAACATACCTGAAAATACTGAAAGCAATCTTACAATTTAATGTAATGATTGAAAGAGTCTGTTTTAAGCATTTAAGATAATCTTAGCAGGTATTTTTCAGTTATGCAGGTTTTGTGTTATTAATGAATGTTTGCTTTTTATCCTTGCCCTAGATTTTATTTGCCACTTATCCAGATCAAGGTGTGTCCTGGCAGATGCTGGCTGTATCACCTCTGGAAAGTTTCTGTATCCTGCTTTCATAAAAAAAAAAACAAACCAACCACAAAACTCAACTGACATTTCCTTGATAAACTGGTTGAACTGGGTGTGTGGTTGTTTTCTGTCTTACTCCCTGAGAAAACTGGGTGTCCTCAGAGCCTGGGCTTCACTTAGGCTTGTCCTTTTATGCAGGCCACAGTAGTGCTCCCCATCCAAGTCATATTGACTGGCACCTATCTGGGGCACCCTGTGGTGCCCACCGAGTACTTGCATCCAGCTTGCATGCAGCCAAAAGGGTGGAAGTAGGTTGCAGATCCAGTGGGATCAAGGACCAGCAAATACCTAGGACCTTGTGTAGGATATACACCTGGATGCAGCAAGCGCACACCAGACCAGTTATATACTGCCATCTCTAACATGTCTGGAGGGTATACATGGACCATGATGTTACCCAGTGAACTTTAGAAGCAACAGACTAGATGATTCATGGATATGTTTCCAGAGCAGTTTAGCCCAGCCATATGTCTGGATTGGTAGATCTGTAGATATTTTTCATTGGGGATGCAGATTCCTTTACAAATTTTCCATGCAAAATTGCTGAATAGTGAATTTAAATCCACAGATTGCCAAGAAACTGTTCAAAAGAACAAGCAATAGAACAACCCAAAATAAAAACGATTCATCACAGGTAAATGCAGACCCGAATGTGATAAGTCTTTAAGGGATGAACATTCAGCTACTAAACAAACAAAAACTTTTGCAAACAAATTACATTTCTTGTTCCTGCTACATTTCTCCTTTCATCAGTCTCATCTGCAATCTGTTTGGTTCTTATGTCACTAATGTGAAAAGATGATTTACTTATATTTCAGAAGCTCGTGTGAGGTGTGTTATTTTGAAAAGGTGCAGCAGGATTTCATTTTTGAAATGCTGATTTTTCTTTTTTTTTCTATTTAAGTGGGCAGCTCCATGGCTTTGAGCAGGGAGAGTCCTTTTTAGATCTATTTGATTATTAGCTTTCTCTCTGTCACCAATAATGACACAATGTAATGCAATAATTAGTAGGGTAAATGAGGAAGAAAACATTAGTGTTTGAGGGCCATTTATAATTAAAAGTTGAGATTGCTTTTTCAAGGAAAGCAAATGAACATTTAGTAGGTCCAGTGAGAACTTCAATTGTAAGCTCCCATTAATATCCAGTTCACAATCCTCCTTGAAAGAGTTGTTGAAAGCTCCTATGTATGTATGGTGTTGAACATCACCGGGGCTTTCATAGCCCAGTCTGCCAAAGGAGGGCGTTGTTGGGTCTTCAAGTTTTAGTCAACTGTCACAGTGTAGCTTAGGGATTTCTTCTCTTTCAACAGATTTTGAGTTGGAACCATAGCTGCTGCATTGTACACACTGACTCTGCAACCAGCTATTCCTTTGTTTGTTTCAGGGAAGTGCTAGTGGAATTGGGATTTGAGTTCAAACAGGTGTTCCTATATTTTACATTTACCTATCACATCAAGATGTTTTGAGAAAAATAGCTGTCAGACAGTCAGAATATAACATTCTCCTTTCTTACCTGACAAACATGGAGCTGAAGCTTCTCAGTTTGTGTCATGTGTGTTGAAAACTGGATATTCTGTCCCCTACCTGAGGTCACTGAGCTGGGGAAAAATACGTGAGATGCAAGCAAGCCAGCAAAGCCATGCTTCATTTTCAGAACGATGTGGTAACTCAAGCAGAAGGGTCAAAGAAAAAGATTGCATTTCTAAATGAGGTTTGGAAAGGGCACCAGCAATTCTGAATGTCATCTCAGTCTTGTTGTTGGTCTTCATTTGCGCAGAAGTAAGCTCATGTGGTTGTTGTCCACTTTGTTGCATAGTGAATAAAGTATTTAGCTTTTTGTCTAGGCTTAGATAAGATTAACCATTCACAGAGCAGTGTTGGTGTGATTTATGCTGGTTGACAGACTGCGGTATTCCCAGTGGACATTAGGCGCTACTCTCCAAATGTCTACACAAATTTCATGGTAAGCTGACAGATGTTCTGCAATAGTCCTTGTCACAAACCCCTTCGAGGTTATTGTGTGAGACTGCTTTGGGTGGAAAATAAGTCTCTTAACTCATATGATGCCAAATTATGCAAATGAACACTCTTTACCTTTTCCTTATGCCTCAGAAGCTGTTAAGAAGTGTCGTATGGGTACTAACCACTATATACTTATTTTTGAGTCCATGTGCCCATGCGCATTGATGTATGTCTTATGGATGTGCGCTCATGCATACAATTTGTCTCCATACAGAAGAAAAAGTCAAACAAAGTTTGAAATATTTTTTAAAACCAAATCAAGTGATCCCCTTTGGGCTTCATATCCTTTGTCATCCTGATGTCACTTATATTTGTGGGTTTTCTGTCATACCCATTAGATCTAGGCTTGCTCAGAGACACCATATTCTGTCTCTGGTGCTGGGAGGGACCTACATCAGCTGATGTGGGGGTGACATCTCTTTAGCACTTTTTCACTTGCTCAGTTCCCATTAGTTCCCATTTGTTTACGTTTCTACACCTTTATGTCTTGTTTGGATTTATTCCAGCTGTTTTCTTTCCCATTATATTATATTAGCCCACTTGCATCTCTCTTTGCTTTGCCTATCCCCATGGGTACAAACTTGGCATACAGCACTGAGGTGGTTTGGATGCAGTTTTTGAAAACAGTATCTTTCCTCCTGTGAGTTAATAGAAGTTTTTTGAGTTTCTGAGGTTGCTCTTTTGGCTTTTTTGGCTTTTTTTTCTTTTTTATTTTTTTTTTTAATAATACCGATTTCCCTATAGCACAAAATACAAATTCAGTAGATTTAGTACAGTTTTTCCAAATAGTGACAATAGCATTCCTTCTTGACAACATGTAGGATTTAGTTTCTTAAAATTTCTAACAGTCATCTCTCTAGTACCGGAAAAAGTAAGTTTTGAAGCCTGGCTAGAGGACTCTATTCTGCAAGAAGCAAGATTTGATACCCCTATTGATGTAAATGTGTGAAGCTCTTTGTTTTCTTTTTTCTCAGATCTTTTGCTTAAAGGTTGTATGTTAAGTGGAGAGCATCAATAATTAATAAGATGATGTGCGTTTGGAAAGTGGATTATAAAAATGGAGGAAAATTCATGGAGTCTGAATTCATGGAGTCTGAATAAGTTCCAGCATTTCTTAGTTTAATTACATGTACCTATTTTAAAACATAAACGTTTTTATTTTGTAACTGGACATTCAAACCTTCAGATAACTTCTGTCCATTAAGTGATTGAACAAACAGTGAATAAGAAACATTCTTGTTCTTCTCCACAACTTACACAGGTTTTTAGGCTTGAAGAATCTTCTGAAATGCTAAATATACTCCACATTCGTTCCTTTGTTTCTAGTAATTTCTGCCATATTCTAAGCAAAATTCTAAATTTTTCTCCAGTGGGGAACAGACAGCTGGAGCAGAACTGTGCATTAACTTTTTGAATTGAACTAGGCTTTATGAAATTAAAAAGTAATGGGTATTTGTTGATGCTTTTAAGGAATTCTGTAATCAAACTGTACTCCATCACACTGTTCTTTAAAAAAGTGTCTGCCTCCCTGAAGCAGTGCCTTTTTCTTCCACTGCACCTGATACAATTATGTTTATTTTCACACTTCTCTGTATTAGAAATATTTTCTTTTTAGAAGAAATGGTAAAGCTTCTTCTATCACATTTCTGTGCAATGGGTTTCACACATACCTCATTGAGCTGTAAATTTCCATCTTTACTCTGTCCCTGATGAGTGGTTCAGTAAAAATCTTGTTTGCTTCCCTCTCAGCTTCTGTACTTGTGCCAGTTCCTGTTATAGGTGAGGGAAAGCTAGATCAGCCTAGATGAACCAATTTAATTTTCCCTTTTCAGACTGGATTTCAGAACTTGCTTCTCTTGGACCTGAAACATGATCATAAATGGGGAGTGAATTGTGAATTCTTTCTGAGTCTGGACAAGGAGCTTGCATTTTTATAAATGCATTTTAAAGCCTTTCAGTCCTGATCTGGTTATTTGCTTTAAATGTTTGATATGTCCTCAGTAAAATGTCTGGAGCAAGGGCTGACATTTTGCAGGGTATATATATATATTTGCACAGCACCCAATCTAAAGGGTTCTTTACTCACTTGCTCTTTACATGCAAGATAAAACTTAATGAAAATACATCATCTCAATTCATGACTGAACGGTTCTTTGATTAGTCCAAATCAGACAAAACAGGATATACCAAATTGACTAGTCAGTGGCCATTTTCACTGACTTACCTCCCTCTTCAGTAGCTCTGAGGGATGTCATCACGTCCAGTCCAGGATTAAGATCTCAAATTCAGAAATTATAAGATGTATCTCAATAGCAGTAATATGTTGAATTTTTCTCATTTCATTTGGATTCAGTGGAACTATTTAGAACAATTCCACATATGGAAATTTATGGCAAGGGTTGAGACTGAGCAGACATCAGATGTCTCTATTATTAAATTCCTTCCTAAAGTTGCATGAGTTTGAATGGTTCTTGCAACTGTGTTGATCATGGAGCAAGAAAAGGTCACTAAGAAAACTTGTAATCATGCCATGACCATTAATGACACTGAAAATCACCATAACCACTCCCTGAACAAGAGGTATATATAGAAAGAAAGGCTGTGAGGCAAAGAATATAGTCAGATTTTGTTAGACTTTTCAGCTTCCACAGAGGTTCTAGCGATGTGTTCTCCAAGGGAGCATAAGCAAACTTGATGAATGAAACAACCTTTCTAATACCTTTAGTTCTTTTCCCCTTTGATTTCGTTTTTTGAATTTTTATTTTGTAACTCTAGTTCTCTACTGTCAGATATTCCTCCATCATTTTTCCTTGCAGAACACATTTAAAAATCATTTATGTTTGTTGATGCTGTTGGAAGTGTACTAAGCATTTTGGCCTGCAGGCAATGGTCAAGCTGCTATGTAGATGAATGAAGACCAGGACAACATGCAAAGGCAGGCAAAGAAGCAGAATCTCAAGGCATTGTTGATAAAATATTGTAGAAAAGAGAGTTTATTTAGGACTCACAAGACTTCTAGAACTGATGGAACATAGAGAGAAAGGATGGATCCAATATGGGCAAAAATGGAACCAAACTGCTGACACTCCAAAATGGAAAAAAAAAAAGAAAAAAAAAATTACATTCTTCAGATGGGGAAACCAATAAGTGCAGAAAAGGATGTGGTTCAACTTGGTATGTTGTGAAGGGATGACCTCATAAGCTACAAACAGGGATAGCACATCAAAAGAGAAAACTGCAGAATAATGAAGAAATAACCTAAATTAGGAACAACACGTAAAAATAGATGTTAAGACCCAGGCAAAATGCCTTCTTTAATATGGTAATATCCTAAAGAAACTATCATGAGTGACCTGGTCATAAATCAGGATCAATAGTATATGGGTACCTCAGAAACTTGGTGAAAAATAATCAATAGCCATAGTATTCTCAAGGTATGTTTTACAGTAGGCAGAGTATGATACACAAGTAGATGTTAAAGAAAGCGTGAAGTCAGCCATCTGCCTGCAAATATAAGAGAATCTCTGTCATTCATGGTTTTTCAGCTAGCTCTATATGTACTGAATTAGTGGCATGGTGGAGAGTAGAACAGAGACTCAATATTTAAGAAATGATTCGTGTCAGCTACACCTGACTCATCCCAGGCTCCCTTTATAATTAATAGAGAGAACCAATGCTTCTCATGAGCGATTCCTCTCATCTTTGTGTGTTGGTCTAAAATGAAGAAATGAATTCCACCTTAAAAGCACCCTCTTTTCATTGATGTTAAAGCAGTAACCAACTCAGACATGGATGTCCAAGTACAGAACTGTAAACCATGGTGAACGAATACCAATCCAAACTTTTAGCTACTTCACCCCATTCTGTCATGTTGGCTACATAAGCTAAAAAACAGACAAATGACATGAGGTGACTCTCACACCCTCTTCAGTACCTTCTAGGAGCAGCCAGTCAGAAAAATGAGATCAAAACATAACAGGTTTAGCTCTGAGCAGCGGACCCTATCTGGAGCCAGATGTAAATACAGACAGCCACTGTGTAATGGTTCACAAAGCATACACAAAGCCAAATCCCTTGACAGGATAATTCACAGCAGTAATATAATTTCAAGAATGGAACTACATAAAAATGAGGCAGCTTAGCTGAAGTGAAATAAAAAATAACAGCTCTGGCTGTAAATCTTGTCAGGTCGATTTTTTGCTTTAGAGGCACACACTGGAGGCCACATTACAAGAAAAGTTCAGAAAAGACAAAAAGTCCCAGCAGAATAAAAGGAGATATTAGAAGTAAAAAGATAGTTTTCCCACAAGTTAGTCACATCTGAGTGATTAAAATATAGAGGAAATCACATTCTGGCAATTTAAGGGAAATATAAAATCAAGATAAGGCAGAACAAAAATATTCTGAAAAGCAGCTTAATAAAAAAATTGAATTTTGATTCATTAAGTGTGGCTGAAGCTTTCTCCTGGTTTATTTTGATTCCACCTTTCATAAAGGCTGTGATCTGCTGCAGTCTGACAATGGAATTATGACAGAGTCTCTAAATATTGTTTGGAGAAAGATAACTCTGATGGGATTTCAGAGTCTCAGTGCAGACAGACAGGTGAATGATATTCAGTTCCACTTGCAATCAAAAGAGAACCTATTTTGCTAGGGCTCTTTCTGATGATTTTATAAATGCACAGAAAGGAATGGAAAAACTTCTTAAGTATCTCCATCTTTATAGGAAAAGAAGGAAGGAACCACTCTTCTTGAAAATAAGGTTTAATTCTTCCCCCCTTTAATTTTAAGCATCCTTTATAATAGCTCCTGAATGTGTCATCTAGGTAATTACAGGATTTATTTTAAAAGTATTGCTTAAAAGGAAGCTGCCATAATTATATGCACCTGAAGCTTTTCAAGACATAAATTGTTGGCTACACTCCTAATAAAAGGCAGACTGTCAAGAGATGTCCCAAATCATTGGGTTAATGACTTTAGGTCAGCTGGCCTTTTAGAAGGTGTAATTAATGTCTCTAGTTAAAGGTATACCTATAGTTCCTGTGGAGACTAGTGTTATGTATTAATTAGGCCACAGAAAAATGGTGATGCCAAATCACACTTAAAACATTCAGAACCAGGAGAGAACTGTTGTAATTTGTGTTTATGCTTGTTAAGGGCTGTGCGTGTAAATTCTCCTGATGAGAGTTGTTCTCCTGATTTGTTGCATCCAAGGTTATTTTTTTATCTTTTTCTGTATCATTCCTTTAAGCAAATAGATTGGGAGTTTCATTCTTAAGCAGTGACATGTATGACACTGGTGGTGAGTGTTCTGTTCACTGTGTTAAGCAGGATGACAGCTGTATTACTTTGCAACACCATGAGATCTGGCAGGCTCTTTTTTGGGTTATTGCGAGAGACATCTTTTCTTTAGATCCACTTCTGCTGAGAATGTGGACAGATGCAGCTCCTTTAAGGATAAAGGAATCCTGCATGCATAATGTCACAAAGCTTTCCCTATATGCTCCAGCTCTCCCCAAGAGAATTGTCTACCATGAGTTGCCATACTGGGCCTCACTGGGAAGCAGGGCACAGCACTGCTTTGAGTCTTCTCTAACTATACTGTATTTTTTCTTCTCCTGTTAAAATCTCTTGAGTTCTGTGGACAAAAAATGTCTTTCTGGGAAAATCACTCTGGTAGGTATGATCTTGCATGGGGTTTTTCTGGAACAGGTTCACTCTTTTTAGTGTGCGCAATTAAATGTCAGATGCTAAAAGTGTTAAGATACGCCAGCATGTGATTAAGTTGCGTGATTTCAACAAAGCATGTATATGCAAAATCAAGTCTTCTCCTTTTTTAAAAGTTTTTATTTTCTTGGTGATGCCTTGGTTTTCTATCTGGTGAGTAAAATTTTGACCAGAAAGCAAGTCCTCTGGCATGAATAGGACATTGACTATGGTTTAGTTTTCCCTTGGTTGGAGCTTCCACAGTGTTTTCCCCAATACAAATTCTGTAATATTTAAATTGCTGAGTAAATGATGCTGCCTTTCATCTAGCAAAAAACACTTAAAGACCCTTACTTCTCTGTCTCTGTGTGTATTTCTCTGTACTATTTTGGATATTGGTACATGTACAGCATCAGATGAAAGCACTGGTGATCTCGAAAGTAACTACAAAAAGGGCAGAACCTGGCCAAAGCAGTGCTACTTGGTGAGGAATTAGCCACCTATTTTGTTCTTTTCATAGTTTCTTAAGCATTTTAGCTGAAGAATATGTTTTTCAATATAAGTTGACTAATCTGTATTTTTTTACTCTGATATTTGCATAGCCTAGTCCAATTTTTAGTGGAAATTTACACCTTAACAACTTTATTAACAGCTATGAATCTGACCGATTTTCATGATTCTCCTCTGTTGAAGTTAGACATAGGAGGCCCGTTTGCAGGAGATGTAGTTGATCACCAAACAGAGGAATACATTGTAGTACAAATCAGCCAGTCTGAAGATGCTGGATCGAGGAGGAGACGCCAGCAGCAGGTAATGGTCTTTCATTTTCTTTCACTTCTTTTCTTGAGATGTGTTTTATCGCTTATATTTCCAAGACCATTGTGCAGATTAAGTGGTTGTGCTTTTCCCTGCTGTGAGGCGTATCAATGTCAGCATTAAAAAACTTGTTCTGATAAGAGTAAAGTTACACATTCTTTTGTCTTTGTAAGACTTCCTTTAGCTTCCTATATTAAAATTTTGTAAAATTTATGTCCCTCGACTGACACTTAGCATGGAAGTTCTTGTGTTTAAAATTGGCAAAGTTTCCTTAGAAAGAAGAAACAAGTGCAAAGTGCCTTTTTGCACTCACTAAAATACATTTTCACATTTTATTGCAAATTCTTTTCTTAAACGTATCATGTTTATTTGCTTTCTCTTAAGGCTTTCTCATTGTTGATGTTTTGTAACAAGTTCCTGCTCCTTTCTTCCAGAGAACTTGGCAAGGGAGGATCTTTCACAGCCTGTCATTGTTTATCACTGAAAAATAAAAATAAGCTTCATCACTTGATAAATATTGTTGACATATAAACAACTGCCTCTCGTTATGTTTACATGATGGGATGGCCTACCTCTACCAGTGACAGCACAGCTGAACAATGCCATTGATATTCCTGCTTTCACCCAATCTCATAGTCTACAGCAAAAGATTAGTCCCACTACCTCAACATGGCAAACGATACCATAATGGCAATTACTCTTTAAACCACCCAGCCCCATGATGAGGAGGCTGCTTTATGCTGTGCTGTCAGCAGCAATCCCCAAGCAGTCTTCATTATCCTGTGGAGCAGCCAGTGCACGGCTGGCTGCAGTAGCCCACCTCTGCTGGCATGTCAGCAGAGGTCCTGATGTGACTGAAAGAGTAGGTACCCAAATTAACCTTCCCTGCTCATCAGACACTTCTTTGTGTCAGATGTCCCAGGCTGGCTGATTAAGTTGTTTTTTTCTGCACTTTGTAGTATACAGGGTCAGGGCAGGCTTGGGATTTAGGTCCCCCTTCTCTAAGTTGCTCTTCTTTAATAAAGACAGCCTATCTGTATCTATATTTAAAGAGTATATTTGCTAAACTTGCATGAATATCAGTGTGCAGTAATGGACAAAGTGTTTATTTTCTTTTTTTTTTTTTTTTTTAATTTACTTTTTCTAAAAGATCAGCAAACAGTAATTTTTTTAATTGAAATTCTACCATGTCTGAGGGTATGACATTGCTCCTCGGCCTTTCATCATCTGTATGTTAGTATGTTAGTTTTATGTATGTTAGTTTTCTTCCCAGGCAGATTTTGGGAATGAACCACATTGTCGTCTCTGAGTCTTAGATGCACCTTGTAGTCAATGTAAAGTGTGATTTGGCATCCTGTCTCTGGTGCACCTGCTGGATGTGTCTCTTGCTTCACTGATTGAGTGAGAGAATGAGTTTATTTCAATCAGGTGGATTAATTTAGGCTGATGTGTGCCATGCCCTGTTTACAGAAAATGCTGTATTAAATGGACAGGAGAGAGAACAAAAAGGAATAAAACCCTAGAGCAGAGACATATCACTTTCACTGATTTTTAATATTGCCAAATGTTCTTAATTTCTTGCAGGTGGCATACAACTGGTCTCTGTCTTTAAGTTCAAGAAGAAATCAGCAAATCATCACAACAAGAACCTTTCAGATACCAAACAGGTTGGCTAAGAGAGACTGAGAAATGATCCATTGAAATAGTAGTTTACATAGACCTGGCTATGAAAGAATAGCTAATATTTTAAAAATAACCTACCATTTTCTGTTTCAGAGGGGCAGGAAAGCATGACTTCTTATTGCTTTTTAAATGGATTTACAAGGCTGGTTTGTACTTAAGTTGCTTTCTAAACAATGCTATTTAGAGGTGTAGAATGAAAACGTTTGAAAAGTTGCTTGCAATTGTAAAGATATAACTCACACACAAATATTTATAGGTACTCAATAAGAAATTAATGCATAAATAAAACTAATGGTATTTCATTGCAGAAATAAGCAAAACTTCTCTTTTATATTTTTCTTTTCTTTTCCTTTTTTTTTTTTTTTTCCCCACCAGAGGCACCATCTTCATAAACATTCAGGCTTTCCTACAGGAGCCTGGAAGTGTTCCTCTCTCCATGAAGCATCAGTATCTTCATGCAAATATAGAGGCACAAGTAACAATTGCGTCCATCATCTTAGTAGGTGTCTACGTGCTGATCATACTGGAAGTAAGCCAGTTTTGTACTTTGGTTTTGTTTTTCCCCTACATTGTAAATGGAGCATAAGGAAGGGTTTCATTGGTGGGCTTTAATATGTTTTTGAAATGTGTATGTGAATCCTTGGTGTAGTATCATTGTTGTTAGTGGCATGAATAAGATACATGTGAGGAAATTGTTCTGAAATGTAACTGATTTTGGCAAGTTATATTAATGTTATAGTGATAGTGATCTTGTGTATGTTTCTATTAGGACCTATTAGTGTATTAACATTTTAACAAAATTATAATTTGGCTGTGAGAGTGAAAATAAGTCTGGGCTATAAAAGGAGTGGAAAACCTCTTTTTAAGTTAATTCTTTTTAAAGATAACCAAAGGCTGTTTTTTTCTACCTTATTCCCTTCTCTAAGGCACCTCAAACTATGAATCTAGTGTACTTTTAAAAGGTTAAAGTGAGCACATTTTTTAATGAGTGACATTTAGAAATTCTTTTACTGCATTATTTTATGAGGAAATTGAGTATGAGCTAACGTGAAGAAGTGAAAGGACAGGGAACTTTAAATATATATTGAAACATCTTTCCAAAGCCTTGAGGTACCAAACCCAATGAAAATGCACTGCATCAGCACTAAGGATGGAAAACCTGTCCAAAACAGCACAAGGCCCCAACTGACTTTTTTGAGCTAAAAACACTTACCGTCTGATTATCTTGAAATAAGATGGGGGGGGAGAATAATTTTTTATTTTTTTTTAACTCATGTAAGCATCCACTCTGTCAGTGAATTGTCCAAGCTGAATCACACCTGATTTACACTAGTATGAAACACAGAAGTGAATCAAAATCAAATCAAATACTTCAAGGTATTCCATTGCAAATGTGTCTCAGCATGCTCATTTTAATTCCATGTCCCTTGTGCATTTTAAACTATCCATCCTGTTACCAGATGAAATTTAAGATAGTTGAACACCTAATCAAATATCAATAATGGGTACACACAACATGACAGATACTTTAGATATTGTATGTTATTCAGCAATAGGGATTTATTTATGAAGCTAAAAAATGCCTCTGTGTACTTTATAAATGAGCAAAGAGATATAATATTAAGTCTGGAGGGGGATTGGACTAGATTTTACTATAAATATATGTAGGCATGCAGCACAGCACCAAAATAATCTTAATACTTTTAAATGCAGCTTTTGTTTTTTTAAAAAAAACCCAAGTATGCAACCCTTTAGCAATTGCAAAAAAAAAAATCAGGTTTTTAATGTATGTTAAGGGTGGTTTTGTGTTTCATCCTAGAAAGCTGCTTTGGAACAATTTATGTGTAAAAGGAAATAAAAGCTTAAACTGAAAAGCAAAGGCAAGCGAAGCATGTATTTTCCTGTAATTTTTAAGGAGAAGCTTTTAAACAACTCTTCAGCTTATTGTTTCTTTGCAAAATCAAGGAAAAATTTCTGTTGTAGGCAGAAAAAATATTTATTCAAATTCAAAGATATAAATAGATACTTAGAAGGAAAATTTTTTAATTTAAAAATGTAAAAAGTCACCTTTTGCATCATGATTTACCAGAGTAAATTATAAACTATGAATATATAAGCTTGAAATAACTGTAATAGAATCAGAACTTGACTGTTGCTTGGTTCCCTCAGAGATCTCTCGCAAGAGATTAATGCAAATATTGTTAACTATGTAATAGTGGTTTACCTTATATTCAGCATTTATAACTTTAGTGCCTGAAGTCCTGCTTTCTCAACACATTGCCCTCTCTATTCCATTAGCAGTTATCACTGTTAGAAAAATCAATTGGTGTGGCTGTAGGAGTGATCTCTCATGGATTTTCATTCAGTGTTGCTCTCCATCTTTTACAAGTTTTTATTATTTTCCGGTGTTTTATTCATTATTATTGGCAATACAGGTTCAACTTCAGACAGTATGGACACACTAAACAAGTTTTAGAGCTATATTTTCACATATTTTCTTACACTGATGAAGAAAGAAGCAGCACTTTATCTGTTATGACTCACAAAAGCCACTTGAAGGTGTACCTCTTGCTCCTCCTGCACAGCACTTTTCCCAGAACACGAGTTGTAGATCTTGTGCCCACAACCTCCTCAACCCCACTGTCCTCATCTTTTAATCCTTCCTTCCCCTTCTCCCCTTGCCCTTTGCTACCTTAGTCACCAGGGAGTGTGCAGGAGAACAGACTGTAAGGGCTTCTGCCTCCTGCAGACACACATGATGGGAAAAGCTGATGAAGTAAGAGGTTCCAGTTGGAAAATTAAGTGCACTTACTGTAAACTCTGATTTTTCTCAAAACTTTCACCACTTTAAAGACACAGAGTAAATTCTGCTTTGAGGCAGCTCTTTGCTTCTATGTTGGCATCCAGTCCCCAGGAGGTCAATGCATGTCATGGGCCAGTCCTTGTCAGTGGAGAATTCTTACTGCCTCAGGGTACGCTGTTCTTCATAAAACAGAACTTAATTTCTTCAGATATTTATTTTAAGTGTTGTTTCTTTTGAAACTGATTATGTGTTACATATTTATGAAGTTCAAATACGCTTCTGGTAAAAGAAGATGCCTTTTTTTCCCCCTTTAATTTCTAATGATTTCGATTTTAAGCTTACTACAAATATGGGTATTTTCTTCAATCCAACTCTGTCCCTTGAAGTTTTGGTATATTGCATTTGACTTTCTTCAGATGGACATCTCATAGTTATATTTTCTGTTTGAAATCTGTGGGTTTTTTCTTTTTTTCCGCATGTAATCATCCTTTCCTTCAGTAACTAGACATTCATTCTCTTGAAACTGATTTTTCTTTAAATATCGATCAGTTTCCTCTTTGCATTTCAGTCTCCTCTCCCCTGCCCTTCTCCCAGAGGAGAAAGAACTAAAAACCATCTGCTGCTTCTGGTACACAGAGGTTACACAGCACAGGAAATTAATCCAAGTGTATGTTAAAAACAGAAAAAAGTGTGCCAAGTTTACCTCTGTTGATCTCTGCTTTACCATCTGACCCTTCAGGTTTACTAATAAACATAGTTAAGATGGCACATAAGTATGCTTTCACTTTGGTCTACAGGGACATCTGGTGTGAAGTGCTCATGTACAGAGTTCTACACTGATGTCGCTGTACTTAATTGGTTCACAATGTAATTCAAGATAGGCTTTTTCTAGTTTTGATCCTCAAGATGCATAGCCTCTTTTGGTTAAGAACTTGAGGCAAAAAAAAACCAACAACCCTTAGAAAATTAAATTTTTACACTTTTCTGCTCCAAGCATCTTTGTTCTTTCAGCTAAGAATGCATTTTGTCTTTTGCCTTCTTTTATTTCCATTCTTTTTGCAGCAAAGCTTTTTGCTATGTTTGTAACTAAAGTGACACTTTATACCCCATTCACCCAGATTCAGTAAGAAGTGGTGTATGGTTTCTGGCCGTACAGCATAGACAATAAAAAGTGGAGTGAATAAAATCTCATTGTTTCTTCTTTTCAGTACTGTAAAATAGGTTTGATTTTTCTCCTTTTGCCTGTATTTGCATACACAGAGAATAGGATAATATGCTGGTTACTCTGTCAATATTATGAAATTTTATTGGTATTTGGAAAAGTTTCTTGAGTTGACAAAGCTCTTTCTAGTAATTCTTAACTGCATATTTGCAGCTACGATGGAGCTACATTAATTAGAAATATATAAGGAGGAATGTTAAAAATCTATTATTAAAAGACAGAGCTCATTAATTTGAATGATTATTGTGTGGTCTTGTCCAATATTTTTTTTTAATTACATATTTACTTTGTGTTGTGGTTTAAAATGCAGTGTTAGCTGTTTATGATGCTTAAATGAGCTAGCAGAAACAAATATGAAGGTAATGACCTTTTAAAGGCTATTTTATAAAACATTTTATTTAGTAGGGAGAAAAGACAGAATAACATTCATTGTATTAAATAATAAAAAAAAAAGTGATACCAGTAGCACATCAAATGGCAGAAAAGCGATACCAGCAAGTATCAGAAATTCTGTAAGAGCCTCCGGAGGGCTTGTTTAATCACAGGAGCTATCATTCAGTTTCATATCTCGTCTGGTAGGTAGCCCTGTGAATGATCTTGCCAGGATATTTCAAATGGCATTTTAATGATCTTGAATAACATTTACATGTCTGTATTTCTCCTTAAAAAAGAAATACTTGAAAGTGCAAGATCTGGCTTTAAAAGTTCTAGCTTTTTACTAGCATGAATTATTAGCCTATAATCATAATTTTTATTACTTTAATGGAAATAGAGAGTGTCAGTTTCTCTCTACATTACTTTTCTATTATTAACTAGCTTAAATTATGAATAAACATCTCCTAAGCTTAATTTCTTTAACTCAAAGCAGAGTGATTTTTAATAGCATCTAACCAGCAGAAATTAGCTGCAGACAGCAAAATTTTTACATGGTTCAGTCCGACCATTTTTCTACTATTGTGGGCTGGTTGAACGAATGTTTCCTCACAGGAAGCATTTTACAAATGAAATAAGATGTTTGTTATTACTGCTGTTTATGCTCACACAGTCCAGTTTTTGCTTATTTCCAGTAATGAGACTGTTTATCTGTACATGGAACATTATGCTTCAGAGACGGAATAGGAAAACAGAAGAGATATTCACTGATATATGAAACGTAATACTAAGCGATAACAGTAGGCTAATCTTAAGGGAGAATTCTTCCGATGAGGAGTCAGAGGAACTAATGATCTGCTTACTCAACATGGTTTGTCACTTCTCATCCATTCTCCTATTGATCTGTCTTTAAATATAGACAGAGAAGAGTGTGGATTAGAGTGTTCCCTCCAGCACATATATCCTACCTAAAGATTGGTAGCAAAGGGGCAGAAGAAAATCCATGGCCTTTATTGGGAAAGACTGTAAAAAAGAAAATTGTAGCTGCTGCTTTCCCACTTTTCCTGCTGCTATTGCTTTCTTTTGTGCTAGGATGGAAAAATTGAGAAGAGGAATTAAAACACTGCTGCAG